TTTCCAGTCGTTACCAGCGAGGTTCACGATATTACAGTAGTTTATAGTACAAAAAAGTGCCCTCAGAAAAAAATTCCGCAATTACATAATTTCACGTAGTTCACGATTTATGGCATAGCGACCCTCCTGAATTTCGATTCGCGTCACCCGATGGCTAAGGTTTTTATTGGAGCAGGCGGCAATAGGTGGTTCCCGTGAAATAATGAAAAATGGCTATTTTTCGATCAGGAGTTTGCCGCACTATATTTCGCACCAGGGGCGGCTCTGTAAGACGTCGAAGGGATCTAACGGGGGTGCGAAAAAGAGGACGAAAGGGATGAAGCTCTAGCTGCACCATTTCTTAAATTATGACGACGGAATGAAGGATATAAGGCTAAGCTACTGGCAAGGGGTTCGAGGTGATACATATTGCTGCTCGAGTGAGGTTAGGTTAGTTTAAGGGTGAGATACCCTCGGACATAAAGATCCGTAATATAATATAGGGTGTTCATGAATTCCGGATCCGCTCCAGCGCTATTTGGTTTTATATTCAGAATTTTCTGCGCGTTACGAATGAGATGCACTGAACTTGAAATTTATAAAAAAATGGGAAAAAAAATATACAGGGCGTACTTTTGCGTGTGTGTATTTATTAGCGAAAATATATACTCGAGGAATTCGACCATGTCCAAGGGATGATATGCAAGCTCCACGTGGTCTTGGGGGTTGGAGTTTCTCTATGTACATAAATTTTATTTCTCTATTCTTGACACGCTATCTCGAGTCCAGAACGGATTCCTTTTGCTTCCATTCGGGGCATCAATTAATTAGAAGGGTGATAAATAGCTCGCTGATTTCGTTACGCAATTCTCGTGCACACGAGAGGATGATGGTGGGTGAGTTATCGTCGAGGATAACAAGGAAGGCTGGTCAAGTATCCAAGAGGTCCTCCAGCGGCCCCGTCTTCAGTAGCTTGGGTAAATTCACTTGAGGATAGTCTGGCGATAGTACGATAGTAATGTATACAGGGTGTCGCTAAAATTATCTAACCAACTGGTAACAGTGGTACTTCGGGCAACGCAACTGATAAAACTATCTTACTTGAAAGTAATTAATTTTTCAAAAAATTATTAATCATCGGTCGTTATCATCCTTATCACGACCGTGAGGGGCGATAAAATATTTTTGTTAATTGTCAAAGGATGTCATGCCAGGGAATGGGTAATTTTAGAAAAAAAAAATTACTTCACAATTTTTACTTTGATTTCTTTAAAATGACTCTGACGTTAGTAAATGCGTTAAAGAATTTTTTTTTCAAATTTGCACAATTTTATGGATGTAAAATTTGTTACGTTGTCACGCCGGCGACTTCCGGTGTCCCAGTTTGAATCTGACATACGGTACAGTGTGTGTAGGTATAAACGACTCTGACATAACTGGAATAGTCGGAGAGAAACTGAGGTGGCTGCAATTCGCATGGTGTCTGTTCCATATACATAGGGGTTGCTTTTTTAATTAGAAACCAGAGGGAAGGTTCAGGCGTGACGACTGTAGGCAGTGGATATAAAGTTGAGACTGCGAATACGTTGAATTCGCCGCAGTGTATTCCGGCCTTAAGAGGGTTGGAAAAATAAGCTTGTAGAAGGTTCGTAGCTGCGGGGGGATGAAGTACCGCGTGGGATTGCCGGTAGAGAACCACCCTCTTTATATTCCTCTTTTCTTTCCCGTGTTGGTTATGAACTCTCCATTTTTTTTCTTTTTTTTGCCCCTTTCTCGATCCGTGCACGACACGTGTGGTTTTCGAAATAACTCGAACGCACGTCAATTACGGAACGTATCGAAGGGGCTGGTTTGACGTTTAAATAAATTTCGTGTTAATTTTTTTCTACCCTTATGGCTTTTCCTTCATCTCTCTCCCTTCTCCAGGTATTGTCGAACGTAACCGTGCGAGAGTTTCAGTCCTTATGCTAATTTGTGATTTAGCGTTAGGGGTAGTTGTGGCTTCGACATGCTTTAGTACTACCCTTAATTATCCGTAGTCCCCCGTATATAAACCTACTCTTCCTCGGCTGAAATATCGCTAAATATCTCGTTCGATCTCCTCGTCAAGGGGTTAATGTATTAAAGGATGTTATCACACCTGGGACTGATAAGATAATAGTGTTACTTCGTCTAAATAACTACCGGTTGGCAATAATCTTCTTCGAAGGACTCTCGGAGAAAAATATAAAATTCTCATCGATCAAAAATTCCAAGACAACCGATAACAACCCGTTATCATCGTCGAATCCACTTTTATCCCTTTTATCCAAAATTATTTTTTTCACATGACAACCAATCTCACCCTACGCCACAAATAATTATTTCCATTCCCAAAATTTTCAAAAACACCCCAACAGACCCGCAAGACAACTAAATACCAATTAACCTAATAAATTTAATTATATCGAACTAATCGATTTATTATCAATACCGATGTTCAATATCAACCCCAGCCTATAACACATCAATTAAAATAATTTTAATGCAAAAATAACTCATCGACAAGTCAACATCGATAACTGTCAATAAGTCGTCCGTAGAGCTGTCGATATCAATAAATATCGTAAATCGATTTATCGATGAAACGAAAAATCTGCTAGCCATCTCGTAATTACAAGGAGGCACTGAAAGAAATTCCGCCGGGACGCACAATCGTTTATAGAATGAAACTCAGCACGGGCCCTCCATCCTCGCCATTGGCCAATTCTCTGGGGTTGGCAGAACTGAAAGGCACGTGAGGACGGACCCGATCGGAAGTTAAATTCTATCAAGAGTTTGTGTGCGGTCAGCCACGGGCAGACTCTGCGGTGGGTCGATCTCCGTGACGAGCGAGAAAATTGGTTCGTCCGAACCGTGAAAAGGGATAGAGTCCATTCGTCCACGCGTGTGTGGACCTACGTGGATGAAATATAAAGCAAAGATGCGTCCTGGACCAAAGAGAAAGGGGATTAGGACGAGAGAAGTTTGCCGGTCCTGTGAATCCTAACAATGAAAATAGGATTCGCCAAGTAGGGGCTCACTGAGTGAAATTTAAATAAAATTAAAAAAAAACAATCTTCGTATCTACAGCGTAAATGCTAAGAATTTCGTGATATGAATTTTGCTGAAAATTGAAAGAAAAAAAATGATGAAATGATTCCATCCATTTGTTAATGAAAGTTTGAAATTAGTGGAAATGCGATATCCGGTAGTCTGTGACGTAATTGGAGTCGACGAGTTCCTCTCGTCTCGTACTGGCGGGGATAGACAAATTGGAATAGCTGCTCGGGTTCGGTGTCGAAATCCACACATTGTTACGTAACTATACGGAAGGTGTAGATAGATATCTATATGGTTGAGTATATACGTGATATGCCGTATGATGTACATATGTATATACGTGAACTAATGAGATCTGGTAATATCGTGTAACATGTACGAATAGCGCATTTTGAAACGTAAGTCGAAAATGGAAGGAGGGCGAGGATTGGGGGATGAAACGAATCCAATTCCCTTGGCCAATAAAATAATGAATTCGGTTAGAGAAGTGAAATATGGTCTCGTAGTAGGCAACTTTAACTTACCCTTCGCGAATCAGAGTGCGCGGATAAATGAACCCTGGCTCCATTGGATTTCCAAGGACGTTCGCCGGATATCCTGTTCTCCATCAGTCAAGTTTTCTTGGCCGACATATTTTTTTTTTCCCTTTCTCGGTCGTTAATAAACGTCCCCGTTTGCATATAAGACACGTATGTATGCATATATCGTATTGGATGATCGGAGTAAAAGAATAATACAAGTCACGTGCTACTAAGGGATGATTTGAGAGGGATAGAGTTAAATTTGAAAGGGGTTGAAAACTAGGGTGGAAATTGACAGGGAAAGTATTTAGCCATATTAAGAAAAAAAAAGATTAAAAAAAAAACGAAATTAAAAAATGCTCGGTGTCGATTTTGGGGGTTGTCCCTGTCATTTGTAATTACGTCATGGGGTGTTTTCACGTGGACGTCCAATGAGAAATGTTCGGGGGAATCGCGACGGAATTAGGGGTGCGCGGGAGAATGAGAGTTATTCGAAAGAAACGAAGGGGCGAGAATGCGCAGGGGTGGAAATTCGTGAGCCACCCTTATCTCCTGTAAGAATACCAGGCTAACGACGCTGCGGGGTAACCGCATTAGGAGATAGAAGATTCCGAAATTTATGACTGATTTAATTTTAAGAATGCGAATCTTCGACCTCGACCCTGCCGAACCTGTTGTCGCCCATTGAGAATTAAGCGATAAGTTATGTAATGACGATAGCGCGTATTAGAGCCACCCTTAGCAACCTCCGTGACGTTTTAATGACGTTTTACCCCCAAAACATCCCTTATACAATTTCACAATTTATATGCTGTAAATTTATTACCTTTCACGTTATATATGTATATAACACATTATTATTATACAAAATATGTGTAATCTTGACATACGCGAATCTATGTTCGCTAATGAAATCTGTTCTTACGTGTAGAATCTTCGATGTAGATCACCACGTGATTCATAAACTTTATGTTTACCTATTTATGGCGTTTTCCACGTACGTTTCCGCGAACGCAATACTCATCTCTCTGGATACGTCCCGAATATTCGTTCCATATGTTCACCACGTGTGGCCATATTGCACGTACGTTTTAACAGTGCAGATTGGGAGTGCGTGCAGATGAAAACGAGCGGCTCGTACGGTGTCACGTGCTGGAAGCTCCAGGTGCATTTTGCACCCTTAAAATTAATAGAATCCAACCGCCGCGCGGAATTCGCATCGAAACCGTGCTAGAGTTGCAATTGCTATTTTGAGTACAGTTGAACTTTGTTTAATCCCACCTCGATATACCATACGCACGTTGCACAGTATTTGCACAGGTATGACGTAACGATTCAAAACCAAAAAAATTTCTCGATTTTCTGTTGAATATTTTGTTTTTATTAACCCCGCCTAATACGGTAACTTCTTTTTTTCAGATCGAACCAGCTGCCATTGCATAGCGATGTGAAGGGGAATTCATGTTGAACACCAATTGCGCGAGGCAGATTCGACGAAATCACGAACACGTGGCGAGACGTAAAGCGGGGTGAGTTGAATTATATTTTGTAATAATATTTATGTGTACCAAGAAATCAGTAAAAAAAAGGGTGGTTTCACGTAAATCTTATGCCATTCGATTTGAGAATGAGAGAGCAGCCCTTGGACTTCAATTAGGCTTTACCTGATTACGGTATTCCTGTAAGGGTGGGTCGTTTACGGCGAGTAAAACCCTTCTGATAGAGAAACATATATTTGAGGTTTCCACCGGGGCACCCTCCAAATGAACAAGCTAATTTATACGCCCCTGTAAAGGCCATGTGCGGTCACACCCTTGCTACGCGTTGTGGCCATTTCGTCCTCTGTGTATACATATGCGGGGGTAGTTTAGGGTAGTTTTTCCTACTGTGAGTGATGCTTCCGTTTAAATGACCTGAAAGGATTTATTGCGTAAAGGAACCATTATATAGGTATATATATATATGTTAAGCTAAAAGTTTTATTCAAGTCAATTTTTTTTGTACACACGGTATCTCCCTTCAGGCACATTATTGTCTGACTACACCAACGTGCCTGTTTACCGGTAGGAATTGCAGCTGGGAAAGACATGAAAAAAAAAAATAATAATATAAGAGCTCGTAATGGAAACGCAGACTTCACTGTCTCGCGCTTTACCGACGTTTTACGGTATATTTGAAAGTGGATCGCTTACTTTTGAAATATATAGGGAAACGCGCACTTAATATAGATATAATTTCCTTTAAGAGGAATTTAACGACAACCCGTTATAGCGAACGAGGAGGTAAACTTGAATATTAACTCGGATCGTTAAGAACACTCAGATGCGTTTTAAATATGGTTTTTTGTAGCGCTACAATAGAAATTCTCAGTTTACACGAGAATAGGTGGCGATTTCTCTATCGTCACGTGACGTATTTCAATTTGTGAGGGGGGGGG